TTGTTTGCTTTTTGTTTATTCTTCTTTCTTGTATTGTTTAAGCTCCTATGTTTCGGAGAAAAAGTCGAGCTTTTATGATTACTTCATCGATGTAGTTGTTTTTGAGTTATACCCGTGTTCTAACAAGATGTTCTTGTTTAAATTGCCTAGTATGTAAGATGGTTTCAAAATCACCATGGAAAATGTTGTGAGACAATGTGCTTTATCCTGAAAGTAATATTTTAAGAAATCATGGTTCGTTTAACTAAGAATAAGTATGCATATTTGTTATTAATAGACTAGTTTTAACACTACATGCAGTGACTTTGTTTTTTCATAAATCTCATGAACACTGTGTCGCTCGACATAGGCGTTGTACGGCCAAAACAAACAGAAATATGCTCAAGAGAATGTGCTGAAGTTAAAAATGTACTTTTTTCTTTTTCTATTTGTTTCCATGATAATGCATTTTTGCTTCTTTAGCCTTAGAATATATTAGACGTTGTTATTCCTTCAATTTAATGAGAAAAGGCGAACTGTTCTCCCTGTATTTCTTCAATAAAATAATTATGTAGATGCATCACTTCAAGATTAGCTAGTGAGGGACTTAAAGCAATATTTTACTTTTAAAAAGGATAGAGGTATTTAATCAAGCTGCAATCGCATAATCAATTATAGATGTTTGACTGGTGAAAATTTTATTTATAGTTTGCAATTTAATTGTGATAACTGCTTCTTCGCCAATAACGTCCTAACTCACAAATTTCGCCATGCTCTCGTAGAGGAAGTCGAGATGAATTAAATGAAAAAAAAACCCTTCAATTTGAAAATAAATTGAGAAAGAACGGGCGACGATCGGAAATTGTTTTCGCTTTTTTTTAATTGAATGTGTAAAACGTGATATGATTGTACACTTTATTAAAGTGAGAAAATATTTTCCCAATTTGACTAAATAGCGACCGTGAGATGAAACATACAGACACCGGCTTTGTGTTTTAATATAATTTTGAAATATTTTAGTAAAACTGGAATACCATGTATTTATTGCACATATCGCTTTTATTTGTTTGTTGTCTAAACATTTTAGAAATATGTCGAATTCAAATACGACTAGGAACTTAAACGTCATATAACCAAATACATTCGACACCATCTATCTATGCTACGCAATTATACATAAGTTATCCTTACTTTAGATTTATAGCTCATGTCAATAATACATCGTTGTATTTAATCAACCTCGCCTCGACCTTCCAACTTCCGTTGTGCCGCTGTCCATTCCGCCTTTTCTCCTTTACAGTTTTACATTGAACAGCTAAAGTCATATAGTAAGCGTCAAATCGTTGTAATCAGGTCGACATTCGTTTAATTCTAAATAATTACAGGTAGTTGTATCAGGATTTTAGCCAAATTGATAAAAACAAAGTCGCAAGCAAATAAATCTTTTTTAATCATTTTTTCAGCGGTATCAAAATGAGAAGTTTTGATAATATGATTTACAAGAAACGAACATCATAAGAGTGGGTGTTTATAGGGCATTTATAACCTTGCGCTATGTTTTTAGAATAGTCATACTTGAATTGAGTAATGATCTCTGTTCTGTACTGTGATTACGATACCCAAAAAGTTACTGTTAGTTGCATTAATTCATCGAAATAAATGAATGATTATCTTATTGTTAACTGTCATCTTGTTTTACCACATTCCATTTCTCTCTCTGATTTTGATCGACATTATTAAGGCAAATTTATTCTATGATGTTTGTTTCGATTAAACGTGGCGGACAAGATATCCATATTTGCCACACTTTTGAGAACTTTATACAATTATTTTGAATTCTTTATAGTGCATTTGGGAACTTGTAAAAGCAGTAAGGTTCTAAATTTTATAAACCAGTCGATGTTGTCGTGAGAAGACTTCATATGTATCTCTAGAGTGGATATACTTCATATGTTTATATTATTTTTTTTTTCCATATCTAGGAAAAATATATTTGTCCTTACTTCTCTTAAGGTATTTGATAATATCTTAGATAAAATTAATTGTGTTAAGATTACACAATATTTTTCCATTTTTTTCCATTATTTCAACGGATCGAATAGTACTATGCTTTATAGTCTTATTGTCTAATAGTCTTATTTAGATATTTCTTATTAGAAGGACTTTTGATTGTTTGCAATATTTTAAATACAGCTTATCTTCTATTCCATTATTTATCTTTACCTGGAGGCTTTCTGATATCTAGTTGACTCCGTGCAAAGAAAAAAAAAGAAGAAAACCAGGGATGAACTGAAAAAAGTAAAAGTTCTATTGTTTCATTTGTACCATTTCTCTTATATTTCCCTGAATAGTGCTATGAAGGCTTCGACTTATAACCTTTAGAAAGCGTTTCAGGTATATACCAAAGATCACGCGATCATGAACTCACGTAACTGAAATAAGGCTTGCCCACTGCGCAAATAAATTATTACGTAAATTAACTAATAAAACAGTAAAAATAGTTTACATTATCTACGCGCAAGAATTCCACAGGTTAAAATTTGTAAGTTTTGATAACCTGCATCGGTTTATGGATCTTTTATCACAACAGATAAATGTATAGTTTCCTGTTGCGATCACGCAGGGATAAACGGTGGCTGCGATTCTGATTCCTCAACCATATAAGCCGGTCCCTCAGCCACAAGGCGTTTTCTTGGGAATAATGGATGAATTTGCAAATGACGATAATTAAGAGTTACATGCAAAAATTACATTTATTTAGTCTCTCTGTTATTTTTCATCTGGTGATTACTGAATAATTGCTACTTGATGTCAGACAGGAAAATACGTTAATAATCAGAATAAATAAAAATAAGAACGATACGGATCGATTTAATAGAAGAGTTAAGATAGCAGTAACGTCACGATGCTCTGTTTAAGGCCGAAGTATATTGTGATACACAAAAACAATCTGTTACACTAGTGACTGCTTTTTCTTTTTTTCGTTTATTTATTTATTTTTTTTTTTTGGGGGGGGGGGGGGGGGAGGCGGATGGGCGGTATTTGAGAAGTACTTGGGTCACAAGTGTGACAATCGTAAAAATATTGTTATCAAGACAAAAGAAATCTAATGATCTCCTCCTTATTCGCTTTTTGCATATTTATACGCACAATAGTTCAAAGGATGTTAAAGTTTTCGATTAATTAATCTCTATGGCAATTTCTTTTAATAATTTAGATAAATATGTGTTAAGTCAGCGATGTACTTGAAGTTAAAAGGAAATACATCAAATGATGCAATGGAAGAAAAAAAAAACAACTGTTGATATAACTATAATTTCCGGTTGGTAAGGCATGGCAAAATTGATGATACAAATTGTTTCTTTCTTACAACTTTTTAAGCTTTCATGAGTGTAGTCTTGTTTTTTATACTATGAAATATAATCTATATAAAAATTTCTATCATTATCATTTCTTCATACCAATGTCCAATCTGCTGTATAAATTCTTTAACAGTTTATACAAGGAAGCTTGTGAAAGTTTTGTTATATTTCTACAAATCTTATAGGTTTGAGTTTGCCTTTTATCAATATCCTTATTTCTAGAGAATATTGGATGATTTTTGTAAATGAAGATAATTGAGGGTTATTTCCAAAAATACAACTGATTTATTTTCTCTTTTCGATTTATTTTATCTTTTAAATATTGAATTATTGCCCCTCAATATTAGACAGGAAAATGACATTTATAATCAGTAGGACATTAAACGACGCTGGATACTTACAGATCGATTAAATTAAAGAGTTTCAGTTTAGTAAGCGCACACTGAACAACGGGGAGGTTTATTTAATAAAAGCAGAATTATATTGTCGAAAAAGTGTGGCGTAACAATAATAATATCAACTTCTTTAAGTGTTATCTCATTTTATCCTCTTGATTTACGTATATATACGTTTTACGTCAATATACACATATAAACGAGTATGAACTTTATCTTAAGAAGTATTTTTAAAAGATGAACAGTGAATTTCAAAGTTATATTGTTTCAATTATCTAATGGTCAATTCACGAAAGAGTTGCAACATGATATGAAGCACAAGAATGTTGAACGTAAACAGAATAAAATGTTCCGAAACAAAATATTATTTTGCTATTTTATGTAGTTAACCATGCACGATTCGCTTGTAAGTCATTTTACAACCATATTTCTTTCATACAAAAGCTTGCAGGTATTCTTTTAAATGCGCTGTTCTAGTCGATAGAAGCAAGACTTGAAATATGAAACAATCTCATTTCAGTAATGTAATTTATTTAGTAAGATAATTGTGAATGAAGATAACACAGTAAATATAAACAAAAGAAATACGATAATTATCTTATTGTTTCTCTTAAATGTCTCAATGTAATCACGAGTGTGACTGATAATACGGTTATAATTGGCAATTGGTAATTTTATTGCAAAATCGATAAAAATTGTTGTTATGTCTATACCATCATGGCTTTTATGTTGTTGTTATTATAAACTGTATTTATACATATTGACTTACACAATTCTTTGTGTGGCTTTTTTTAAAATTGTCTATTTTTCTGACATTATCATTTACGAGGGAACCGTCAAAAGGTTTGTCCAATGGTCTATAAAAAATGAACAAAATGCAAATTTCAAATTATTTCTTTTTATTTCCTTCAAAATAATCTCCATTGTGAGAAATGCATAACTTCAACCTTTTAAGCCAATTCCGAAAAGCATTTTCAGTCTTTTTTAAGGATACGTTTTAGAAACTGATAAACAGCGGAAGCTACTGCATTACGACTGCCATATTTCTTTCCAGACAGCATCCTTTTCAATTTTGGAAACAGGAAAAAGTCTGCAGGAGCCAGGTCTGGTGAATAGGGTGGATGGGGAAGAACTGTCACTTTTTTGGTTTTCAAAAAATCCTTTACAACACTAGATGTATGCGCTGGGGCATTGTCGTGTAATAAGTGAACACCTCTTAATCCTGTCCTTGGTCGACGTTTTTCAAAGTACTTATTTAACTTTTTCAGATTTTTCGTTTGTATAATGTTCCTGTTACTGTGCGCCCCTTAGGTACAGAGACTTGAATAATAGGACCATTGATGTCGAAAAATACAGCCAACATTACTTTCTTAACACTAATCGTTCTTTTAGCAATTACTGGTCTACGAGCGTGTCGTGTGGCCCATATCTTATTATCTATATTCCTGTGTGGTTCAAAAAAATGAACCCACGTTTCGTCACCAGTATCTATGTTCACAAAATGCTTTCGCTCAAATTTAGGGTATAACTTCAATAGTTTTTTGGCCATCTTAACACGTTGTGTCAATTGGTCCTTGGTAAGAATATGGGGTATCCATCGAGCAACTTTGCGTGAAAGTCCAAGGTTCTTCTTTAAAATCCTACGAGCAGATGCTTCTGAAATACCAGTCATCTGAGCTATCTCGGGAGACGTATATCTGGCATCTGACTTCAAAATATTACTAATCTTCGAGATGTTTTTCGGGGTCACTGCTGTGCGTCTCCTGCCAGATCTAGATGCATCTTGAATAGAGTCTAATCCACTATTAAATTTCGCAATCCAGTTTCTAACCAGCCTATACGATACTTCATTATCCCCATAAACTTGGCATATTTCATTAAAGATAGATTTTGGTTCAATTTTAAGTTCATTGCGAGCTTTGATATAGGTGCGAATTTCATCACTTTTCAACGAACGTTTACCAACCATTTTAAACACTAGTATGAATGACTACTCATTTAAGATCCCAATTTTATGTAAGTTATACTTGTCGCACATCAATGATTTTGATATCATTATGTAGATAAAGAACTAAACCGTGTAAAGATAAATACTGCACGATTATTCCATGAGTGTACGGCTTTTTATTGTCTAATGGACAAAACTTTTGACGGTTCCCTCGTACTTAAGTACGGTTTGCTGTATACATGTTTGGTGACATAAGATACGAATGGTAGTAGTTTTACTTAACTTTGGCATGATTTTTCGTTATTCCACATTTCGTTCGTTGTATTTATTTACTATGATAAATGTTAAATTTTGATAGGTCTAGGAAAAAATATTTATAAATGCTTAAATTATACAGAAAGAAAATAATTATGCAATTTTAATTATTCTCTCTAAAAAAAGTTGGATTCTTGACATTTCTGAGCGGTTGGACGTGGAATATTGTTAAGATTATTCAGAACGTAACAAAATAGAGAAAAACAGAATCCCTAATGAAAGTCCAACACAACAAAATTGAAAATGTTGCAGGCTCGGTTTGATTGAGCCTGTTCATGGACGGTACTGGAAAGTGCAAGTTACCGTCCACGCCCCCTAGCACCGGCTAAGCAGAATTCCATTAATTCAAACGTGGCCTAAGCTTTGCCTTGTGCAAAATTCGCTGCGCTTTGAAGTATGGGAACCAGTCGGCTATGTTCGGAGCCATTCGGTTATATGTTGGTTTCCATACTTCATAGCGGGGCGTATTTGTACACGGCGAAGCTGGATATGGACGTTGAAAATGATTTTTTTTTCAAAACGGCTTATATCAATTTTTTTTGAATATATGATCAGTGCATGTGCTGGGATTGACAAATATGCATTTTATTATTTTGGATTTTAAAGGCGTTTTGAGCTCCATACCCCAAGTGTCTGTGAAAAGAAAACACAATAGTCCCATTCCGAAGGGAAAATTCATAAATAAGCCAGTAATAATAGTTGACATCATTCACCCGGCAGAAGATCAAAGTTCAAAGTTTATTTCTGTGAAATTGATCTCCATGTTACTTGATTTAACAACAACATTAATCAGAGAAAATGAAGTATGATGATGATCTATCGAATGACTCTTACCAGTGACATATGCGATAACACATGTCCGTGAAGTACGCGGGATAACGGGCTAGCAGTCTAGCGGGCTAACAGTATGAACTGAGCGGGTTTAGCAGTCTAGCGGTTAACAGTGTGACACTGGGCGGCAAGCAGTCTAGCGGGTTAACAGTGTGAACTGGGCGGGCTAGCAGTATAGCGGGCTAACAGTGTGAACTGGGCGGGGGCTGGCGGGCCAGCGGGCTAAAATCTAAAAATTTATTTATTGAACATAAAAAATGTTATGATACATTACTTGGCAGTGTGAAGTGGGCGGGCTAACAGTGTAGGCGGGTTAGCAGTGTGAAAACTGGGGCGGGCTGGCGGGCAAGCGGGCTAAAATCTACAACTTTATTGATTCAAACATGAAAACGTTATGATACATTACCTGGCAGTGTGAAGTGGGCGGGCTAACAGTGTAGCGGGCTAGCAGTGTGAACTTGGCGGGCTGGCGGGCCAACGGGCTAAAATCTAAAAACTTTATTGATTGAACATTAAAACCTCATGATACTTTCCTAGCAGTGTGAATTGGACGGGCTGACAGTGTAGGGGGCTAGCAGTGTGAACTGGCGGGCTGGCGGGCCAACGGACTAAAATCTAAAACTTTATTGATTGAACATTAAAATGTTATGATACATTACCTGGCGTGTGAAGTGGGCGGGCTAACAGTGTTAAGCAGGCTAGCAAGTGTGAACTGGGGGGGGCTGGCGGCCAGCGGGCAAAAATCTAAAACTTTATTGATTGAAACATGAAAACGTTATGATACATTACCTGGCAGTGGTGAAGTGGGCGGGCTAGCAGTGTAGGCGGGTTAGCAGTGTGAACTTGGCGGGCTGGCGGGGCCAGCGGGCTAAAATCTAAAACTTTATTGATTCAACATTAAAACCTCATGATACATTTCCTAGCAGTGTGAATTGGACGGGCTGACAGTGTAGCGGGCTAGCAGTGTGAACTGGGCGGGCTGAGCGGGCCAACGGGCTAAATCTAATCTAAAACTTTATTGATTGATCATAAAAACGTTATGATACATTACCTGGCAGTGTGAAGTGAGCGGGCTAACAGTGTAGCGGGCTAGCAGTGTGAACTGGGCGGGCTGGCGGGCCCAGTGAGTCTAAAATCTAAAACTTTATTGATTCAACATTAAAAAACCTCATGATACATTTCCATAGCAGTGTGAATTGGACGGGCTGACAGTGTAAGCGGGCTAGCAGTGTGAACTGGGCGGGCTGGCGGGCCAGCCGGGGCTAAAAATCTAAAACTCCTATTGATTGAACATAAAAACGTTTATGATACATTACCTGGCAGTGTGAAGTGGGCGGGCTAACAGTGCAGCGGGCTAGCAGTGTGAACTGGGCGGGCTGGCGGGCCAGCGGCCTAAAATCTAAAACTTTATTGATTCAAACATTAAACCTCATGATACATTTCTAGCAGTGTGAATTGGATGGGCTGACAGTGTAGCGGGCTTAGCAGTGTGAACTGGGCGGGCTGGCGGGCCAGCGGGCCAGCGGGCTAAAATCTAAAAACTTTATTGATTCAAATTAAAACCTCATGATACATTACCTGGCAGTGTGAAGTGGGCGGGGCTAACAGTGTAGCGGGCTAGCAGTGTGAACTGGGCGGGCTGGCGGGCCAACGGGCTAAAAATTCTAAACTTTTATTTGATTGAAAATAAAAAACGTTATGAACATTACCTGGCAGTGTGTGAAGTGGGCGGGCTAACAGTGTAGCGGGCTAGCAGTGTGAACTGGGGCTAGGCAGGTGTGAACTGGGCGGGCTGGCGGGCCAGCGGGCCTAAAATTAAAACTTTATTGATTCAACATTAAAACCTCATGATACATTACCTGGCAGTGTGAATTGGACGGGCTGACAGTGTAGCTGGCTAGCAGTATGAACTTGACGGGCTAACAGTGTAGCGGGCTAGCAGTGTGAACTGCGCGGGCTGGCGGGCCATCGGGCTAAAATCTAAAACTTTATTGATTCAACATTAAAACCTCATGATACATTTCCTAGCAGTATGAATTGGACGGGCTGACAGTGTAGCGGGCTAGCAGTGTGAACTTGAACGGGCTAACAGTGTAAGCGGGCTAGGCAAGTGTGAACTGCGCGGCTGGCGGGCCATCGGACTAAAATCTAAAACTTTATTGATTCAACATTAAAACCTCATGATACATTTCCTAGCAGTATGAATTGGACGGGCTGACAGTGTAGCGGGCTAGCAGTGTGAACTTGGGGGCTGGCGGGCAATGGGCTAAAATCTCAAAACTTTATGTTTCAACTTTAAAAAACCAAAGAACATTCCTGGCAGTTGAATGGGGGGGCCCTAACGTGGGGCCGGGCTGCGTGTGAACTGGGGGGGCGGGCCCGGGGCAAAACTTTTAAAACTTAAAAAAAATCAACAAAAAAACCTTTACTATACTTTCCAAAGCTGTTTTAAGCTCGGTGAGTTAACAGTGTAATTTGCTAGCATCAGTGTCTAAATTCAATACAAAAATTTTTTTTAACACTAAACGTTATGTGCATTGTTTTAGCAGGGGTAAACCTCGGGCGGCCCAAACCCTTGTTGTTTCATATATTTATACACGATCCTTGAAAAGTCCCAACAAAATTTGGTTCTAAACCCGTATTGAATTTAATTTAAATTGCTGGTAAAACAGAAACACCGATTTAACTGAAACAAAAAAAAAAACCCCCTGCAAATAAGTTTTTTTAGTAGTAGGGAAAGTCAAATGTAAAAACCTCATGTAGTAAGCAAAGATCACCAGGGGACATACATGGGTGTATACTTGTGAAATGACAGAAGCTTGTCCATAACATAAGGAAAATCTGGGAAATTTTGGCGATTTTTTTGGGGAGGGGTCTGGGGGTCTGGCGGTTAAATACTTTACATTTTTTAAATATAAATAAAGGGGGTTTTGATTCGCCCCCCGCTCCTCCTTTAACATTAAAACAGTCTTTGGGAGGGGTTTTTTAAAACCCGAGGTCCCGGGGGAGGTTGCTTTTTACACCTGAAAATAAAAACCCAGGTTCTTTTTAAAATGGGGCCATCTTCTGAAATTTCCCTACCCCTTTTTTACGAATTGTAAACTTGGGAAAAAACCCCAAAGGCGAGGGCCCATTAATTTAAAACCCCCGGATGTCCCAAAAGGGTTTCCTCAACTATTTTCCTTTTTGGGCAGCTTGAGTTCGAGGGCTCCCATTGATTAAAATGTTTTTTAAATTTTAAGGGGAAAACTTTAAAACCCAACAGCTTGCGGTGTGGGGGGTTTTTTACCAAGAACGGGTGCCCGCCTGAGCTGAAAGTTGTCCGAAATGCCATGGGGTTTTTAAAATCGTTAAAAATGGAGGAAGGTTAAAACCCGTCCAAAATTGTTTAAAAAATAAATGTTTTGCATTTTTGGGAATGAGTTGCTTTTTCAAAAAAAAACCCAAACAATTTTGGGATCTTATCCTAAACCATTGGGGCCTATAAATTTACGGCAAAATTATATCCTTTTGAATAAATTCAAAAATTGGGCGGAAAAGGGCCCCCAAAACTAAAAATTTCAATGACAGCAGTATTTGATTGAGATAAAAAAATTGTGGGTATTTTGTCCCCCTTTTTTATTTTCAAAAATTAAATTTTCGGATAACCAACAACTTTTTCATTTCACTATTTGTCCATAAAACAAAGCTAAAAAAAAAATTTTGATATGTGGTTTTCCCATGAAACGAGAAAGGTTATCTAGAGTTTTCTTTTTCTTTGTCCTTTTAAAAGCAGAAAAATTTGGGTAATTTTGTTTATTATTTTTAAAAACGTTTGGGAATATATCCACAGCTAAAATTATTTGGGTTTTAAATTTTAAGTAAATTTTTTAAAT